CAGTCCCAGCTGTTGTGCAGGAGATCTTCGCTCACCCAGTCCACGACCCCACGTGGAACCCATCAGCTCGGAGGTCACCCGAGGTCACCGAGAGGATGCGGCAGTTTGCTACGCGCATGCTGAATAAGATCTGGCGTGGAGGGGGGGCTGTAGAGAGGCGGAGTTTCGCTATCCGTCAAACAAGGGTGTGGCAGGATGAGTCGCCTCAAGAATGGGGTAAATCCGTCAATCGCATGTGCGAGGAGGTGTTCGTCGCGAGAGAGCGCCCCATGGCCATGGGGGGCCAGTGCCACCCCCCAGACGCACGCAACATCAACGAGGAGGTGATTGTCGCTTTCGCGAGGCAGATCGCGGAGCACATCAGCCAGAATAGCCCCCCGGTGGCGCCATCCTACGACCCGGCGCTCCCTGGCATGGAGGAGGCGATCCTCGCAGGAGCGGCTGCGACGGGGACATGCACGGGAGGCGCCAGCGCCTCCTCTGGCAGCAGCGGGCCAGCTGCAGCACCTGCGAGGCCCCGAAGCGAGGAAGGGCATCATGGCGCCCAGTCCTTGCTGCCAGTGAGCGTGAGGTGCGCACCGCAGAGGGCGGCTAGCGCTACTTCTCTGAGAGCATCCTCAGCATCGGTTTCCAGCACGCCGTCGCTATACTCACCCTTCCCCCTGGGTCGGGCAGAGAGCGCGCATGGAGCTGATGAGCGGTCGTCTCCGACGCTATACTCACCCTTCCCTTCGGGTTGGGCAGAGAGCGCGCATGAAGTACCTCCCAGTCGACAAAGAAGCCAGCCTGCACGGGTGGCGACTCCGTGCAGGCTGGCTTCTTTGTCGACTGGGAGTTCGGTAGGGGGGAGTGCTGTCAGTGCTCTGCGTGCTTGCGTGCCTGTCGCGAGCAATAGTGTGAAACAAACAAGGCGAGTTCATTTTGCAGACAATTTGGAGGAGCGGCAGCTTTACGATCCTGCCAAGCGTGTCATTCGTGTGGAGAGGCTGCTCCCCGCGCATTCAGTGCAGGAAGCTGCGCCGCAGCGAGCGGCGGAGTCGAGGTTTTACGTCCAGAGAGGAACACACGTGGTTGGGCAAGTTGGCCACGGCACCTCTCAGACGCTTGTTTTTGGCGAAGGATTGCCCTCGCGTGCTTGTGTTAATTCGAGCAAGCCGGATGAAGGCTGCCACACTGATAATGTTTTAGCGTCGTTCACAGTTGTGCAAGATGCGCGGGGTGATTGCCTGCGCAGCCAGAGTGCCAGTGCCGAGCCAGCCGATCACGGGGGCCTGAGCGCAGCTGTCGGAGGGGGAACGGGGCCCCACGTGCGCGGGGAAGGGGCGCCCAGCAGTGAGGTGCACACTTGCCCCCTTGGAGTCCGAGACCCCTTCTCCAGGGAGCCGCCCCATGGTTGAGTCGCCTTCAGTTGCAGTCAGACTTGGAAGGGGATCAAGCTGCATCGCAATGCCCGTTCTGCTTTGAAGCTCGCCCCTGCGAGGGAGATGAGTCGGATCGAGAGCGTCGTCCTGTGCCCTGACGGGTCCCTGTCGGTTCACGCGGGGTTAGAACCAGCGTGGGGGCTTGCGGTTGTTGGCCAGGACGTGAACGGTTTCGCTTTTCTCGGATTCGCTGGACAGAAGCTTGAGGGGTCGATTCCAGGAGAGCTCATAGGCAGTAAAAAGTCGAGCACTGTTGTGGAAATGGCTGGGATGATCCGGGCGATGCTATATGCAGCATGCTTTCCAGCCGACGTTCACGTCACCATCGAGGTTGATAATACAACGGCTCTCAAGCTCACAGTCGGCGAGTACAGATCTAAGAAACTAAGGCCCTGGCAAGGGTCCTCAATCTGCTGTATGAGGAGTTTTGCAGGATCGGAAGGATTGTGTGCAAGCATGTGCGAGCGCACCGAGGTCAGCCATGGAATGAGATGGCCGACTGTATAGCTAAGCATATGTCTTAGCGCCCGCCACCCGACCCCCCAGGCGAGCTTGTGCAGTTGCTCAGCTATGAGCGTGGCCGAGAATGGGCGTGGGATGCGTCGCCGAGCAATCCTGACCGACACGCCTATCCCCCGATGGGGGCCAGCGGATTCGAGTTCCACCGTAAGGCCCCAAGTGGCCAGATGGAGCATCAGGATCAGAAGTGCGGAGAGAAAAAGGTCAAGGCCCGAGTTGGTTTCACTGCGGCCACCTTCAATGTGCTCGCTCTCAAGAATGAAGAGGAGGGGTTACTGTAGGAAGAAGGCCGCCAAAAAGAGAGAGGCGGCGGTGGCCAGAGCTGCGCGCCACAGAGCCCAGTTCAGGCACTCAGGATGGCTGTTCGGGGGGGTGCAAGGAAGCCGCACGCCCAAGCGACGCAAGGTCGCGGAGGATTTCCTGGTCCTGTCTTCGGGGCCTGAAAAGGGGAGTCTTGGGTGTGAGCTTTACGTCAATCTGCAAGCTGTGCACGCGAAAGTTGGCGAGGTTGAACATCGGATCCAACCCCAGCAGGTCCGTGTGCTGCATTCTGACCCCCG